ATCCCTGAGGAAAGATCAGAGATATGTCTTTTAAGCTGCTCAGGAAAGAGCCAGTTTAGATTTTCATTCACTTACTGCCTCAAGTCCTTTCATGTAAAAACATAGGAAAAGAAGGAAACATACAGTCTCTTTGATGGAATGTATAAATAACCATTGGGAAGCAACAGCAGGAAAGAAACATGAAACTCATAAAGCAGCTGCCATTCTTGATCACTCTGCCAATTTTGTTTAAGTTCACAGAAAATATTGACCTGTAAAGTGATAATTCACCCAATTCACATTTCTAATTTTATCTTTCTGTTTGCCTCTTTTCAAATGATCTTCACCAGAGATATAGATGCTGTCAAAGAAATCTTCCAGTATTGCCAATTTTCTGGCACAATCGTAGAATCATAGAATGGTCTGGGTTGAAAAGGATCACAGCGATCATCCAGTTTCAACCCCCTGCTATGTGCAGGGTCACCAACTGCCAGACCAGGCTGCCCAGAGCCACATCCAGCCTGGCCTTGAATGCCTCCACGATGGGGCATCCACAGCCTCCTTGGGCAACCTGTTCCAGTGCTTCACCACCCTCTGCATGAAAAACTTCCTCCTGATATCTAACCTAAGCCTCCCCTGTCTCAGTTTAAAAGCATTCGCCCTTGTCCTATCACTGTCCACCCTTTCAAACAGCTACTCCCTCCTGTTTATATGGTCCCTTAAGTACTGGAAGGCCACAATAAGGCCTCCCCGGAGCCTTCTCTTCTCCAAGCTAAACAGGTCCAGTTCCCTCAAGCTTTCTCCATAGTAGAGGTGCTCCAGCCCTCTGATCGTCTTAGTGGCCCTGCTCTGGACCCACTCCAAGAGCTCCACGTCCTTCCTGTACTGTGGGCCCCAGGCCTGGATGCAGTTTTGCAGATGGGGCCTCACAAGAGCTGAGTAGAGGGGGACGATCACCTCCCTCTCCCTGCTGGCCACCCCTTTTTAGTGCAGTCCAGAACACAGTTGGCTTCCGGGCTGCAAGCGCGCACTCTGGCTCATGTCCAGCTGCTTGAGCACCAGGACCCCCCAGTACCTGGGATTGCCCGATATGTGTAAAACTTAAAATGTGGGGAAAGTAATGTAAAATGACATTTGTATGTTTTGCATACAATGTAGAAATACAGAGGCATAGAGTCACTCGAGTGTGTTGTAAAATCAGTTTGTGTTTTCCAGACTGAATTCCATAATGACAAACTCATTAAAAGTTTTTGCTGCCAAATGCTGTTTGCTTTCACCTTATAAACTGTCTGCATTAATAAGAAGTTACTCCACTTAGAAGCTATTTACATAAAGTATTCTTCATGTCAGTGGTGAAGTGCTAGACAAGGGATAGGGACTGCACACACAGCAAATTAATTCAGAAAGGCACAGATTTAATGCATTGCTCAAAATCGTTGGTATAATTGAAGTATATGTTCTAATGTGGCAGACATTCTGGATGACATCTGCCTTAGCAGGCCTTGATGGTAAAGGTGATTTACTTCTGCTAAATTAGTTCAGCTAACTCTATATTGGAAGCCTAAATGGTCATTATTTTCAAAATATTTATAAAAACCAGGGTTTCTGTGTTTTGTGTTTTGATACTTTCTAGCTCCATAAATGCTTATCTTTATGTGCAGGTTATTTCTTCTATGCCAGCTGGACTGCTGTCTCTACATATTTCTGCTTACGCAGATGGCTATTACATTATAGCTCTCCCAGTCCTCTGCAACCATTGCTGTCCTAGAGCATTCCCTCACTGTCATTCATCCTCTTTGGTTTTTCTACTCTACTTCTTTAATGAGCAGTCAATTGTCCTTATCATACTTTATTCCCATGAATGAAAGAGCCCCCAGGATGATCCATGTGTCTTGTTTTCTTCCCATCAAAGATGAAAATGAACTGCCTTGGTTAAAATGCCATTCATTAGTAGGTCAAATTTTATTCTTCCTCAGGCTTATTTTGTTTAGTTTGCTAAACTAAACATCAGTGCAATATATCAACATTATATTTCAGAATATAAGCCTAAAAAGATGGTCACCAGTTCAATTCCATGGTCTTGCTAAAAAGATGATTGAAGTGAAATAACAGCAGTCAGCTGCCATACCTAACCCCAGGATAAAAATCACAGTGATTTACAGATATAAAGATGGTGAAATGTGAAAATTAGTTTTTTTCTGCTCAGTTCTTCTGTAAGAATAAAAGTTAATAAACAGAAAAATCCACTTACACTACTGCAGTATCTAATGCAGATACATTAAACCAGTATAATAAAATGTGTTGCTTAATATTAAAGAATTTCATATTTTCAGCGTACTACTTCCTCCAACATGCTATTGCTGTTAATTGGCAATACTATATAAGGAGCTATCTTTGGGGTGTTTTTTAATATATTGTAGTCAGAATACAGAGGAAATGCCTATGAACATTTAAACACAAAAACATTGACAAAACTGATTTCTGGTATTAATTTCATTTCTCACAGAACCGTAAACACTCCTGCACATAATCTGTACATTAGAGCAATGAAAATTGTGGTTTTTTATAGCAAGTGCACTGGTAATAACACCAACATGAATGTGATTATCAACATATGAACCGATTAAACTCCGCCTTGTTAATGGTCATCCATCTATGCCATATGCTGACAGACCATTTATGAATTTTTTTGTCGTTGTCACATTAGCTGCAGGCATATACTATATGCTTGCTGTATAGAGAACAAAACCCAAATATCTGCTTCCTTCCTTTGACCAAGTCAAACCCAGTGCCTTGGTCCACTCTGTCTGTGTTTGGATCCTCATCTGCAGATCCTTCCATTTGTGTAAAGTATTTAAGAACTTTTATCTTTCTTTGTCTTACTTTACACTCATTTTTATTCTCTGTAATTAGAATGCCTAGGTCCATACTGACTCCCTTTAAGACTGTCTGCAAAGTGGTTAGTGTCTTAAGCTAGGGAGCCTCAGTGCCTTCTGGTTCGATTGTGAGCACTGTTCACTCTTATCTGCAGACAGGTTTCAGTAGATATTACCCACAGCAAAATAAGACTTGCTTCAGTAACAGTAGCCTTCTGCTTGTCACAGCGTCATATTGCCAACCAAACATGCCACTGACAGACAAGCACGCAAGCAGACACTGACAAAACTTGTTTAGAAATTGCATCTGTTCTGTACAGTAAGACTGTAGCATATCCCTCCCAGCTCTTTTTCTAAGTATCAAATCAAATAAATGAAGCCAGTGAAACATGAAACTTACTCTGTACAAGAAATACGAAGGCATGTGTGTTTTTTTTTTACAATGAAAGGTTGCATTTTTCCTGCTAATAATGTTTTTCCTTGAAATTTCAATGGTAATTTTCCTCTTATTTACAGAGCACAATCTACTGAGAGAGAACTGACATATGTGTGTTAGAATGTACAGTGGCTTAGTGGAAGAGTCTTAATACCTTAATTTCAGGAGTACCCCCAGAAAATTTGTAGCAGTTAGAACAGCTATCCTGCCTCTGGACTTCATGTGGAAAAGTGTCAGCCAGCTCAGAATGCAAACAGGAGAAGTTTAAGCCTGTCTGATGTTTCTCACACAGGCAGAGCCACATGGCCTTTTAGTGTCTAACTTCTCTTTTAGCCTTGGAGCACTGAAACTACATCAAGGCAATAGCAGCCATAAACCAGGATGTACTGAATACATGTATTTTAGACATATCCTTGTTTGGTCTCAGCAACTGTCTTATTATATTTGTTATTCAATAAGTAGTTTCTGATACATGTAGAATCTCTTTTTTTTACTTTGTTGGATTATAGAATGCATGACATATGCATAAAGAATGCCTGATTATTTTTCTCCTTTTCATAAGGCAGTGCAACTAACACAGGAAACCCTTTCAGAAAACAATCTAAATAAAGCACTGTTTACCTCAAATTATTTCTCTTTTTCAGCAGGAAGACAAATAAATTTGATCGTATTATAAACTGGTTCTCATCTACCCAAAATATCTGAAATAATGTAATTATGACTCAAAGTCTGTTGAAAAAAAAAAGATATACAGCTTGTCTATTAGAGATTTAGAGGACTACACAGAAATGTTATGTATGGTTCACCTAAAGCTTCCAAGGTTCACAGATAAAAATATTAAATAGGTTTGTTGGAATGGGATATAGTTACGCTCTTCCTGTAATTTCACTATTGCTTTTATCTCATAGTCTCAGTACAGACTCGGTACAGGTAGTTATGGTAGACACTGCATGTAAATGTAGTAACAAATGCTCCCGGATGGGAAGATTTTTTTTTAATGGAAATAAGTAAAGCAAGGAGTAAGAAAAAAAGAAAACTTTCATTCCTTACTTTACAGAAATACAGAGAATGAGGGAGAAAACTGGTCTGTAGTAGCCATCTTTTGTTTGCCAGAGATCATTCTTATTTTAGAAGGACAATATCTCAGCCCTATATTTTGTCGGCACAAATTTCTGTTTTTGCTAAAGTTGACGTGAACTTCAGTGGTTTAAAATCATACGAACAGAGCAGTTAAACATTGATTTTTAGCCAGTACATCCACAGACTTCAAGAACCATACTGATCTTATGGTAGAAGTCTTAGGGATGCTGATTTGCCCCAACTGTTTCTTCAGAACATAAGACCTTACCTTTCCCCTCTATCAAAATGGGAAGCTCTCAGACAGGAGTAGAAAACAAGGTTCTCATCCAAAATACATTGCACAATATGAAGCAGTGAATGGCTTCTGATATAAAACATTCTTTCTGCTTTTTACCACTCACTATGTTGCAGAATGGACATGTTCCTCTTATTATGATCCAAAGCAGAATACTCCTTTCTGTTGTTATTCTCATTTTCCTCACCTTTCAATTAATTTTATGAATAGGATTGCACAGTTGTGCAGTGACCATTGCTAGTTTGCTAGTTCTCTTTCTAATTATAAAAGAAAGGGGAAAAAAAATTGTCTGTTTATCTACAGTATGTAAAAGGTTTTTTTTTTACTGTTTCAGGACACAGCAGGTCAGGAGAGATACAGAACAATTACCACGGCTTACTATCGGGGTGCAATGGGTTTCATTTTAATGTATGACATCACAAATGAAGAATCCTTCAATGCTGTGCAGGATTGGTAAGTAAATTCAAATTCATATTTGCTATTGAGATTTATATTAGCTATCAGAGGTAATGTTTGATATCACTAAACTGTTCTGATAGTGTACATTATCTTGAAAAATTTATTTCCGGATACATTGCCTATGCCCAAAGGCAGGATTTTTGATTTTGTGGAGAGACAGTTAATACTTTAAAATGCTTTCCATAGGAATTATAGCAACCATTGTATTTTCTGTGATGTCAGTGAATGTGGATTATTCCACAGAAATGAGCAATCTGATGAGTAGTTTCTAACTTACCTGAAAGCATTACTGTAACTCAATGAAAAAAATGGGATGCTATGAGTGGGGTTGTCTTTTAATATTTTTATGTTGCTTTTGACCTTAATGGGTTAGATTTCTCATCCATCTGGCTCAAGTGTAAAAAAATATGAAGAAAACTTTCATCAGAGTTATAGAACTTAAAATGGATGGTTATATTACCATATATTTTGTGAGTATCAAGATGTTTCCATAAAAATGTGTCATTTTAACCAGACAAGGAGAAATGAGGATCCAAAAAAATGTAATGTTTTTAAAGAACAGCTGATCCAAAAGGAAAGCTAGAATTACTCTCAGCTGTGTCATCTTATCTTCCAAGATGTATTTTCATACCTAAGAGCCTTCTAGCATTATTCTGGATGATATATTTAGCATTTGTCTTGTGTGCTCTCTGTGCTCTCTTGCATTGTATCCTCGTGGGAGAATTGTGTTTGAAGCTTTAGTTCAGAGTTTGAACAAAATGTGTGATTTGTTCAGTGCATTTCTTTTTCGCATCTTTGGTTAAGATATGCACTACTATGTACTTTTTTCACACAGACAAGGTCACAAACATGTTTTACATTTGAAGTAAAAGTCAGTGATGTTGTGATGGCTGTTTGTAGTGAGTATTGCTGCCCAGCCACAAGCTGCCTAATAAATTTTTTTCTCTCTGTCAAGCTTTTTAACCTGTTGTGGCAGAAAAAGCCACTAAACCCATGGAGCACATTTCATCTCCACACATAGAGATTTTCTCGATCCATGTATGCTGAGTCTGGACATTCAGCACTCAGAAGATAAGAACTAGAGGACTTAGCTTCATTCTGCTCTACAAGAAATAGATCTTGTGTTGCTCAAGTAATCTGAACACAGCCTGACTTCAGCCTGGAGAAGAGAAGGCTGCGGGGTGACCTCATTGCAGCCTATCAATACCTGAAGGGAACCTACACCCAGGAGGGGAGTAAACTCTTCAAAAGGGCTGACAACAGCAGGACTAGGGGAAATGGATCCAAGTTGAAGGAGGGAAGATTTAGGTTGGATGTTAGGGGGAAGTTCTTTACAAGGAGAGTGGTTAGGCCCTGGAACGGGCTGACCAGGGAGGTTGTGGATGCCCCGTCCTTGGATGTGTTTAAGGCCAGGTTGGACAGGGTCCTGGGCAACCTGATCTGAATGTGTGTGTTTGGTGGCCCTGCTAGGCAGGGGGGTTGGAACTACATGATCCTTGAGGTCCCTTCCAACCCGGGTGATTCTGTGATCTGATTCTGTGATTCTGTGAACACCAGTGATGTACTCAGTCATCCAAAGAAAAGGACAGCTCCAGAGCATGTCCCTCTTATTGCTGCTGTTGAGCTCCAAACTGAACTGCTCTTATGAAAGATCCTTCTCTATTTTCTAGAGAATGAATAAGCTCTCATGGTTAGTGCAGACCAGATGACGAGCTTTTGGACAAGAGAGCTAATCTGAGTGGAGTCTCTACATGATGCTCAAATTGGAAGATGGATTTTCACACTGCAACTTGTTAAGACAAGGGGATGTTCTGAGTCTTTTGTATCAGCTGGTAGTATCATGCTGAAGGCTTGCTGCTCACAGTTGCAAGTACTGCTCTGTTCAACAGCTTGGGACAGAATTTCCTGCCTATTCAGGAGCAACCGAAAGCTTTATTTGAAGGTGCTGCTCTGAAAGTTCAGCAAAAACAAGATAAAGGATTACACCACCCTCAAACACTGAGCCTAGAATTGTGGCAGCTAGCTTGCTGGGGCAGCTAGCTGAAGATTTTCCTTCAGAAAGGAAGGTTCTGCTGCCCTTTGTTCATAGGCTGCTTTCATTCAAGCTCTGGGTTAACTGGGTGACAGTGGCTGTGAGGAGCCAGCTGTAATCTGCAAATCTCATTGCCGCGGTCTGTGGGCAAACCAGATGGCATGCCATGTATTATTGAGTCTCCTCTGATACAAAGATTTTTTTTAGCAACAGTAAAGATGAGTACTTATTATTAATTTTTCACCACCTGTTTGTTTTCCAACCTCCTAGATCTAGTATCATTGCCATTTTCTCTCTCCTGGTGAAAAACAGCTCGGCTCCGTAACAGTTAAAGCAAAAAAATCTCTGTTAAAATGAAACAAGAAAAAAATATATTTTTAAACTCTATGGATCTTTTAGGTTTGTAAAGTTCAATTTCCCACACTTTTTATCTAGAATATTTACAAACAGTTGGCAACAACTGTAGAAATTTGGGGAAGGGGATTGCATGATTACATGCCTAGAGCTGCTGAGCAGTCATCTGCATGATGAATGGGATGACAGACAGGCAGTCCTGCCTCATTTGTCAGGATGAGAAACAGATTTGCTTTTATTTTCATTTTTAATTTCATAAGCCCAGTTGCTGCCTTGCTGCTCTTCCTCTTTGCTTTTTCTCCCCATCTCAGGGTTGATAATTGATTTTCATTAGCCCATGCTCTAAAACTGTAGCTTGCTTCTGAATAGGAAAGAATTTTAAAAAATGTCACAATTACCAGTGCTCCAGGAGACCAGATGTGTGTGTGTGTGTGTCTGTGCATTTGTGAAAGATACAGAGGCAAAAAAATAGCAGCAGATTTTAAGCCCCTCTGGAACTTAAAATGCTTTTCCCCGTCATAGAACTGCCTCTGATGGCAGTGGTGGCATTTCATGTATGTGCACAATGGGTCAAATTCAAGCTCAAGGACCATCAGCTTCAAGGCTTCATCTAGAAACTACATTACAATCAGTACAATAAATCTAAAGGTACCTTTTACGTCTGGATAAAGAATGTCAGTTTAAAATGTGTGCAGAGATCATTCTCTAAAAGCATTTCATGCAAAGCTGTTGTAATGTACTAAAAAGCATTTTTTTTTCAGTCTGACTTCTGGCTGACATCTCCCATTTATAATGTCGATTGGAGTGGATGGATTGTCATATTTCCAAGTATGCCATGCTTAGGTCAGCTTGACTTTGCCCAGCTGTGACATATGCTATACCTAATTTGACCATTAACATTTTACATACAAAAAAGTCAGTGTCTGTATTTTTGTCTAAACCTATTAGCACCAAGATATGCAACACAGCAGCACCACAGGCAAGCATTTGTCTACCATTCTGTGGGACTGAGAAATCATTCTGTCTTAAAGCCTGGCTAAAGGATTTGAAAGTCTGATAAACTTCAAACATTTGATACTTCAGGAAACATTCATATTCTACATTCATAGGTAAAATTTAAAAACTTAAAGATTACAAATAATAGTAACAACAAAAACTGTAACATAAATAAATATTTTTTTATATATACGCAAAAACATTTGGCTTGAGAAATCTTGAGTAGGTTTTCTGCATGTGGACCCAGTGATTTATTGCTTATAACCCTTTTCCTTTTCTCTGTCAAGAGCTAATTCAGGTTTAATCCATGTGAAGGACTAAAATGTTTCTATAATTTATTTTAGAGAGTATTGCTAATCTTCCAGCTAGTTCTCCTGAAAAAGAATCAGTCACCTGCTTTCATCTCTGCAGTGCATTCTTCTCTAAAATGACTATATTTTTAATTTTAAATTTTGAAATATTTAGACAGAACTAAAACGAAATGGGAGTAATAATATAACAGAGGCAAAAATACTTTTCTATTCTAGAATTCAGAAGGAATTTGGATTTGAATTTTGTTACTAAAAAGTTTTTTTTTACTTTCTTTTTTGTGAAATATTTGGAGTGGTTCTTGTATCAAGACTGAAGAAATACTTTGTCCTTGCATAAACTTTTGCATCATGGAGAAAAGCAATATTGAACTATAATATTGAAATTCCAAACTAACATTGTAGGTCCAGGTAAAACGGGGATAGAGAATATGCCTTCCTCAGACATGAAGAATCATTATTAGATGTGTTGGCATGACTCAGAGGAAGTTGGATTCTCCCACTTGTGCCCCTCGTAGCAGGTTGGGTGCACAACTTGAGTACATAAACCTTTTTGTGAACCTTTTCACAGGAGAGTTCAAACAAACCAGTACTGATGGTAAAGAAACAATACTAGGTCAATCACTGAATTTGTTGGTAGTAGACACAGCCCTGAACAATATTCTCCTTTGTAGATATAGACTTTCAGGAGTTCCCAAGGACAGACAGCTTCTGTTTAATCAGTGAGAGTGAATCTGTGCTGAAAATCTGTCTGCTAGCAGAAACAGCAGAGCAAACATGCTTTGACTCAGCAGATCTCCTGAGGAGCTCTGCCCAGATTTTGGATCTGCCTTTAGGAGGAGGCCTTTTTGCAGCTGGCACTGCAATAACAAGGTGTGTACTTGCTTTTGTGCATGTTAGTGATGCCACCCTAAAATGATTCAAAGATTTGGGGAATGTATATTTCTTTTTCCAACAAATAGGAACCACTTGGAGGGCATCATTTCTCTGCTTGGTCTAGAGCCTATGTTAGAAACAGGGAAAAACCAAACCATGCTCTTTAGGTAAATCTCTTAGATAGCACCCACGTTTCAAGTAATTAGTCTCATTTTCTTTTATGTTCCCTTCTTTTTCCTGTTAAATTTTAATATGAAAAAAATGAGTGTTAAGAATGAGTCTATGCCACTTCAAGTCATATGTCTTGTAGTTGGTTATAATGCCACAGTATTTGCTTCAGTTACTCTTTTCTACTGCCAGTTGCAGAATTTACAGCTCTCAGCCTTTATCATCATTACATTTCTGTGGGGGCTTTTATGATCCCTTTTCTCTTAGTGACTCAGTCGACATAGATTTATGAATCTGGTTCCTTTCAGTGGAAAGGAGAATGTGAAGGCTATGTATGCTTTTTAAAATGCGATCAACTCAGTATGTTGAGTTCCATAGACGTGCAACAAAAATAAATCTTTCTGAGATAAACCACTTTTTAAATACAACCTTGCTATCCTCTTACTGACAGTTTTGAGGTTGAGGTGTTATTTATACCCAGAATATTTCTAATGCAGTGACTCTGGCTAGGTTAGAAACAGAATATAAAAACCTAGGCCTTTATGTCATAGTTTGAAACCCAGCTGAATGACTTCACACTTTGCAAAGTTCAAAGGCTAGATAGGGGTGTTTTTGCATAGTACACTCATTTTGGGTCATTACTCTGGCAATGAAAAGGTTGTCCCAACTCAAAGTGTTTGTCTGTCAGTATCTGCCATTATCTGGTGACTGCTGAAAGCATTGCCATAGAGGGCTCCCTTGTGGATGAATTCAAAATTTGAGAATACTGCACTGCTCAAGTCTCACATCAAGGAATGCATTCTTAGGTGACCCACGTGGCTGAAGGAGACTAAAAGCTTTGTATGGATGATTTTTTTGTCTCCTTTGGAAAGATGTACAATTACATCTCTCTAGAAGTTCAGAGAGTTTTCCATGAAAGATGATTCCCCTTCCTCTTTTTCTCTTGTGTGTTGTGTTTTTTTTTTGTTGGCTTTTTTTTCCACCTCCCTCTGGTGCAACTTAAATAGCTTACCGTCTTCAGTATGCTCGAGTTCAGCATCTTCAGGAATGTATCAGCTGGCAGACTGTGTATATTGTGCTTACTTTATGAAGGAGACACAGGCTTAGCATACAGCATGAAATTTCTAAGAATTTTTAAGATTTAACAATTCTGTTCTGCTGTGTTTATTACATATTTCCGTAGGAACTTGCAGCTGAACTTAGTGCTAACCAACTTGCCTGAAGTAACATGAAAATGTAGTGAATTTCAAGTAAAAGCCAACAGAATAAAATACTAATCATGTGTTATTCGTCTGTGCCCATAACACATGAAGATGTTATTGGGAGTGGGGTCTGGGCAAAGACAATAGAATAGAAATTAGGTAAGAATAGTAGAATTAGGTAAGAGCAGAGTAGATCCTGAGCTGTGAAATGTTAGAGTTAAGCCATTACCAGAAACTGTGATGTTTTTTTTCCTGAAGGATACCTGGTTTAGGATTGATTGCTCATGGTACCATCTGAGATATCTTCAGAGCAGAGCTTTAAAGAACAACTGTGCTACTATCAACACAGTCTGATATTCAGAATTATGGCTTAAAAATATGAACATTCAATTTCACCATCTCATTAGGCAACTGAATGTACTGGATATGCCACTAATGGTTGTTGTTCTGGACAGCACTGTGGAAAAAAAGCCCAGTTCATTCAAATAGTGCTTTCACTTTCATCATCCTGAATGAACTACAAGCTACCAGGTACAGCTACAGTGCACTAGAATTATTATTTTTTCTGTGTTCTATCACATGTCCCTAAGAGGTATGAAGGCATTTTTTGAATTGTCTTTAGGAGAAAAAATAAAATTGGAAAATACATTAGCATGTTAATGGACAAATGTAAAAAGCCTCAAAGCAAATTAGGCCCATTAAATTAATGTCTGCTATGTGCACTTCTGAAGGGCATATGTTCTTTTTGCTGTCACCTCTCAACTTTCAGCCTAATAATCATGCGCAGGGCATGCTTGATCTACAGACAAGCTATTTTTCTTCTACCTCTCAATATTGAATTTAGTTCTATGAGTTAAGAAAAATCCATTATTCTGTGTACTGGGGAGGAAACCTTGAAAGTACTTCCAGGCAGTGTTAAAGTCCTTCCTTGTCTGCCAAAGCTCTTACCCGACAGCACCATTTGTGTGGTCCTGTTGTGCAGAGCACTGACACGAGCTGCATGTGCCACTTCCCTTGTGTGTCCCTGGAGCTCTGTCCCAAGGGGCTACATCCAGCATGAGCTGCAGCATGTCCACAGTGATCCATGTGCAGCACTGAGTCTGCCGTGCAGCTACAAGCCTACTTCTTACAGCAGCCAGCTGGAGAAGTGTTCTGAGCACTACTCTCTGGTAGCGCATATATTAACTTGGGTTTGGGTGGAGAGATATTAGTAGATTCCCTGCTTATTTGAAGTTGTCTTCAGCCAAGTGCATAGTCACTCCCATTTAAAATAAAAGAATGAGACACTAATGTTGCATAAATAATATCACGTGAAAAGAACAGGATGAAATTTAAGGATGAATATTTCAGAATAATCAATTTAGTGTGTTTTTTCACTTGTCTTCTTTCTGCACAATGAATGGGCATTAAGAGGAGTCATATTCTTTACATACGTAAATACAGGAAACAGAAATATATGGAATTTCGACTTGATGATCACTCTTGGGAGTGGACTCTATTACGCACAAGACAACACTAAAATTCTTTGTTCTTAATAAACTAAATATCGTACTTTTTTTGCTTCTAACTTTTTATTTCTGAAAGAAGAATTAAGACGAGTGGAAAATTAGCTACTTAAATAGGCTTTTCTTCCCACTAATAGTAGTATCTAAAAATTTGTAAAAAAAATGTAATTGCTGGTGAATTAAATGTACATTAAAATGTTTAAACAATATTCTGTATTCCAGGTCAGTTTGCTCAACAGTTTTCCATGCATTGTTTGGTACTGAATTCCTGATGTCATACATTGCATATGGAAAACTTAGTTCCGTGAAAAGATGTCATTTTTTCTTCAAGAGCTTGTCATTAAACATAATTTGGATCACATATGCTAAGCTAGTGATAGCTTAAACCACCTACATGCTTTCCAGTTTGTCAGACCCACTCCAAAGTCTGCCGTCGTGTATCTTCCAGTACATGAGAAAAAAGAGCTACACTACATTAAAGTAAAGGATTTGAGTAACAGCATATACAGAGACTGCTTCTTCCAAAAGTGAAAGGAATCCATGATGAGAATGTTGCAAATTGATTGTTTCCCATTTTTAATTTCAGTTCTCTACAGTTTTCAGCAAATCATCCTTAACATTTACAGTGGGCCAACAAACAGTTTGTAATATAAAAAATCTTTATCTGTTAAGTTGAAAAAAAGGAATATGTTATTTTCTCCTGTCTTTGGTATTTCCAAATGCAAGATTTTAGGTTTGCCTGGAAAACAGCTCTCGGTGATGAAAAAGTACTTCTTTCTGATAACATATATGATAGTAGGCTTAAGCATTATGGTAGCCTGGACGACATTGCTTTGATGAAGATAACTTTCTTTCATTTTCTTTCCGCTAAATCCTGAACTAAAATATGCATATTATTTATGGAAATGTATGCAAAATCTGTGTCTAACTGTTTTTGTTTTGAAAATAGTAAACCTTTGATTTAAAAGTTCAAACCTCATCAGAAAGTGTTTTCAATAGATGTACTGTCAAAAAAAAAAAAAAGAAAGAAAGAAAAAGAAGTTGTCTCATGCATTGTAGCAATTAATCGGAAAAGACTGCTATTAAGTTTTATGACAATTTTCATTATTTTCTATTTTTGTGTTCTTCAACCAAAGAGAAAAAATACTTATGGGACTGATATTATCCATGTTTGCTTCTCTGTCCTGTGGGCCTCTCCTTTCACTCGTTTTGCCAAGGGACAAAGAGCTTCTGCAGAAGTTCCTGCACCCACATGAACCTACTTCAGTATGTATGTGCCATCTTCTTGTTATAAATCTGCTACCAAGAATCAGTGTTTGTGCTTATCTCTGCTGAACTGTATCAAGATGTATTAATGCAGAAAACACGGCATCTAATCAGAAAAGGGAGCAAATATTGTCTGGACAGAATTTACTCAGATTGCTCCATGTCTTTCTTCTCCTTCATGATTATGTGGTAGCAGTCATTCACCCCAATTCTGCTAGTTTACTGATGGCTGAGTAGAGCTCCTCTTTGGAGCTAATCTTACTGGTATGCTTCAGGAATTCACCAGCAGAATGAAGTCACCTTTGACTTCCGTTGGACCTAACAGACTGTGTGAGGACTTTAAATGTTTGTCTGTTAGTTTTTTTCATTCCTGTCTCATATGGCAGTTGATTAGGCCTGCCATTGGTCATAACTAGACTCATCTAACTGCAGAGAAGCAGGACAGAGGGCAGGATTGTGGACTGCAGCCTGTCCTTGAGCACTAGTTGCAAACTGACAGCTGTTCCATCACTGCAGTAGTGCCTCTGCAGCTTGCACCCCTACAAATCAGGGCTGAAGTATGAGGGATGTATTTAGCCTCTTTTTAGAACTGGGTAGCAGTAAGAATATCCTGACTGCTCCTTTCCTACGCCATATTCTTTCACTCAGAAAAAAAACATGGAAGTCCTGATGAGTTTGAAACACTAGAATTTTTTAGTTGAGAAAACGTGACAGATCATGCATGGTTACTATCCACATTTGGTGAGAAGAGAGTCTGCCTTAACATACTTCAGTTTTCATTTTCAAAAGCACGTAGAATGTGCCAGAATTACCCTGTAGTTTTTGGGTTCCTGCCCATTGTTCTTTATGAATGCACAGCAAGAAGCAGAACATACCTGCTTTGTAGCTGGCTATTTCCCAGCTGGTAAGTGAACTGAGCATCAATAATTAATAACAATAGTGCAGATGTGGCAGTCTGAAAATAAACTTGCTTTGTTGGACCAGAAATGTCACAGTGGACTTTCACTGTGTGATTGATGAGATAATACAGATGCTCAGCTATTCAGATATTAAGCAGAGGAATTGTCTTCTGTTCCAGATCCTTCTTCTCTTCAGATATGGCACTAGGGGTTACACTGGCGTAGGTGGAAGCAAATCAGATCAGATTAACATCTAAATGCTGCGGTGCTTAACCAATATTCATTATTTAAACCATGCTATAATACTCTTAATGAAAAATACCATTTGATCATTTGTTTTCCTGGACCAGATGATACACTTCAATTTTTCAAAAAGTGGAAAATGCCAGTATTGAACTGGCAGAATTTTTTAGGAAAATAAACAAACTTTGGTGTGATAATACAACTATATGCTGAAGGGAGCGTATGAAATGCTGATTCCAGTGATCAGAATATTCTTTAATTTACAGAGAGTCACAGCCAGCAGCAAATTAAACAAAAACTGGTATGTTATCATCAACATACAATATTTTATATTGCTAGTAGTAAATGTCATATAATTTTGTGGCAGTGTTAGCTTTTATTGGCTGAACAGTAACTAATACATTCTTTTTATCTTCCTCAAGTCTAGCAGGTTGACAATGTTACACTGCTGCTCAGCACTCCCAAATGAAAGCTTTGCTGTCAGCCAACAACGTATGAGTCGTATCACTGACTCAGTAATATCCTAAAACTGTTCCCACTCTCAGCTCAAGTTGCAGAACATTTACTTTTCTCTGTACCCAAGTAGTCTAAATTGGTTATTTGTAGCACTGGAGAAATATTGGGGCACTGCACCAAGCTCAAACCTTGTGATACACTGAAGAAGCCTCTCCTGTTACAGATTTCAGATTTGCAGTTAGCTGCTATGGATTGGGATAATGGCAATAGCACCAAATGCTGGTTTCATCCATGCAATCTGAAGGCTGTTTAAAAGGCCAACAGAAACAACAAGGTATATGCCAGTAGCATATATGCCATATATGCCTTTGTGGGTATTGCGAGGGAAGTTTATCAGAGTGCTATCTCCCTTATTAGCTCCTTCACCTCTGCTACTGTTTTTGATTCCACTTTCATCTTTGCCTAATTTCAGTACAACTTGTTTAAAATGTCAGTTATTCACAGTTTCAAAAGAATGATAGCTATGTGTGACATGGGCTATATATGAGCAAGTATAAGAAGTTTCACTAGAATTCAGCCCACGAATAAAGAAAGTGAATTGCCATCAGTGTTGTTATGTCAAGATTCAAACTGCAAAGGAATAGCAGTTATAATCCAATAGCAGTTTTTTTTTTTGTTTTTTTTGGTTTTTTGTTTTTTTTTTTTAATTGTAACTTCATGCTATTTAGGTCTGGTCTGCAAAGAAAACAATCTTTAGAGTATCCATCGTCAGAATATTGCAAGACTGCAAATTAAACAAAGGCATTCATAATGAATGCTTAATAATAAATGTTTTCAATTAAAAGAAAAAAAAAAAAGTGTAGTTTCATCAGTCTTGTTCTTTGTTTGAGCCGCTGCCAAGTTCACACAAAGAATATAAAGAACATGAACAATATGAAATATAACTTTTGGAAATTTCAGCTTCAAGGAAGACATGAATGGTGACTTAAAACAGGCCATAAAGCTATTATGGTGATAGATTCCAGCTGGCAGCCAGAGCAAATTACAGGATACTTGAAGAACTGTATATTTCAACTTCTATGGAAGCTTAGAACACAGATATATTCTGGATAGGCTGGATGTCTGTTGCAAATCTAGTAGACCTATAAAAGCTTCACAACCTAGCTCTGTTTGATGATTGTAAAATAAAATAAATTCAAAGCCAGAGTCTCAAAGCAGAGTTTCCATTAGAAAATCTGTTTGTTTTTTTTTTTTCATATGCATGTTTCTAGGTTTATGAAGGCAAATTTATAGCAAAATAAGGAAAAAGAAAGAAAACATTGTTGTAATATGAATTCTACTTCTACCCAATGCTCACTCTTCTTTCTCACAGTGTGAGAGACATTAGTATTTCTCTTTCTGGAGGATAAGCAAGACAGAAAAGCCTATCTTATACTGGAGAAAGGTTCTGTGTCTTTAGTAGGCTTTGTGTTTTAGTAAGCTTTACAGGAAAATATACTTCTACAGAATGTAATTTCTCCAGGCATTGTATAGTACCCATGTAGAACTAGCAGTGAAAACAGTGAGCCCAGGAGGTCACAACCTGCTTAGAGAAGTCCCCAGGGGAACCAGCAGAGAGAAAGCAGAGAGAAAGCAGAGGCTGCAGTCAGCGTACAAGCACAGAAATCCTCCTCTGTGCTGGCTGATGAAGAAGAGAGGACCATCTGAGTGGCTGAATATGTTGTGGATGCCTTTGCTTTATAGTGCAGTGATGCACAAAGTTTCAAGCTGACTGAGACACTCCATCAGGACTTGAATATCACCATTTCCAATTCTTTGCTAATTTTCTCCTGCTGAACTAAGATATCACTGTGCAGTGCTTAGCTTATGCAGTGTAGACTTTAAACACCAGTTATTCCTGCAAAATAATTGTAGTTCTCCCTAGGATAGAGGGGCAAAGCCCAGCAAACATTGCCTAAGCACTTCAGGGGTGTTCCTTGTAAGCTCTGGGCAGAAGGGGTCAGCAGCTTGGTCACCATGTGAAAGGTATTTCATTTGCACATTACTGCCTTAGCAGGAGACTATGAACTATGGTTCCCATGGAGTTCTGGAGAGGCAATCAGAAGGCCTGCGCAGAACTCCTGGGAGCACCAAGGAAAATGTACAAAGGTATGTCAGGACAGGTCTAGCTACTTGGAAGAACAGGAACCTCCCTCCATCCTTTCCTATTTTTTTGCTGCCGTTGGAACTAAGACTTAGTTCACACATAAAATCAAGAAAAGAGCAGTAACTGCCTGGTGTTCGCAGCAGGGAAGCCTTTCGTAGCCTCCACTCCCCTTTACTTGCAGCAGCCATCCTCTGCCATGAGTTCACATAAGAGCAGGATACTACAAGTGGAAGAATAAATCAGTGTATTTTATCTTGAATTATTTCCTGTCACATGCACTATAAGTCTCTACTTAAAGTGCTTTGTTCACAGCAAGCAAAAAGGTGTTCCATCAATTAAAAGACAATTTATATGGAATATCTGCCTTGGAAAGCCATTTTTTTTCTTTTTTCAGGCCTACTCTCTTGACAGAGACAAATCTGCATGATATCACCAGTTTTTCCATACCTAAATTTTAAACTATGCCTTTCAGATGTACTCTAAATAGTACAACCAGTATCTGCCTTGTGAGGTTTTTTTTTTTGCTCTTGTACCTGGAAGGCAAAACTCTTTAGGAAACCCATATTAATTGAACTGAAATTTGCACTCTGACTGATAGATATTAGCAGAGGCAAACCGAACTAAAGGAAGGGGAAAAAAAAAGGAAAAAAAAGAAAAAAGAAACAAATAAATTTGATTCCAGATCTAGTCTGAAGAAAGAATGGGACTCCCTAGCAGTTTCTATTGCCAGTCATTGAGAGGAGATTGCATATTACAGCTCCTTTATTAAAAACAATGAGATAATACAATTGAGCATTATGGCCTCTGGGAGAAAAGAAGAGAACAAAATATAAGCCAGTCTGAAAGGATGGTGATGCAAACCTTCCTTTGATGCAATATTTAGTATCAGACCTTTCACTTTTGGTTGCTGGCTGAGAACCAGAATACACTTCATTAAGCCCCAGTGAAAAGTTACCAATAAACAACTTGCACCTGCAATTAAAAAACAAAATGAAGCATAAATTAAAATTGCGTGTGTGTAAGCTGTGGGAAAGTTGAGAGAAATAATGAATACCTCTTTTGAGTTGTATTTTTAGAGGCACAAATTGAAATTGGCCATCTCTTAGAGTCTCTCCTTATTTACTGCAATCTCCTTATTTACTGCAAAAAAGTAATGTACTTTTTTTTCCATTTGCTCAATGGAAAATTCATAGCAATTGAATTTATTTTTCTGAGCAGATTTAAAGACAGTTCCTTCATAGATTAAAAAAAAAATAAAATCAATATTGGTAGCTGGTCTTAAATACAAGTGCTTTTTCATTTCTTATAGTCATCACAAGGTTTTGTTGTCAATAAGTGTATTTCTGTGAATAGATTACATAAAACACACAAACAACCAAGAATGATCATCAAATGTTGCCACCAGCTAAAAATTCATACGACAGCTATTAAGAAAGATTTATATGCTGGAATAATCATGGATATTTAAAATGTCTTTTCAGTCTCCATGGAGACTCATCACTGCGTAAGTTACTGCACTCAAAGCTTAGATATATAAATAAAAACATAGGTACTACAGCTTCAGGGGAAGTCTGCATTTATCTGGGGCTTTCAAGTGCTTTCTGTACTATCAATCACAATGAAATAGTCTTTTAGATACAAGTATTTCTTAAAAAACAAAAGCTAATCTTTTCTTTATATTTAAACAAAGGTTTTCAAATCTGAATAGTTTTTAGATGTCTTCATTTTTTGCCATCCCACAGGAGAGGACTCGTGTTGCAGGCTCTATATAGGTACATCAAAACTGCAAGCCTTGAGCCAAACATTAATTTATTTTCTTTCCAGTTCTACACTTAACTATTTCTCTCTTTCTCAGTAAAGTCATACTAGGAAAACCCAGTCAGAACTGACTGTGCTAAGAAGAGATGTCCTGACAGCAGAATATGAAATGTCCTAGAAGACAGAAGGAAACCGTGAGAGGGTTACAATAATGAAGCTCTCTTAAACTTACTGAAAGAACTGTCCCACACAGCAAGCAGGGAGGGCATATGTACATAGCAAATGATGTGAGATCCCATCTCCTTTCTGGACAGGATGGCAAAATCCTGAATAGACAGAAAGGAAGCTTTCAAAAGAGGGAACAAATTAAACAATGTGTCCTCCAAGTTAAATTCAGCCAAGGAGAAGCGAAGGTATTTCTCAAGAGTGATAGCTACGTTGGAAAGTAGATATGCTTCTGGGAGGAAAAGACTGGAAGGTGAGCAGATGTCCTTTGGTGCTTTCCCTAGGCTAGAATCTACAGTAGGTGCAGGGCATCAGGTCAGGCTGAGAGGCAAAGTCCTCACGGAGGGATTTGCAGGGCTGTAGGGGATATCAGAAGGACCTGAAGAAGCCAGAAAATTCCCACATTGGAGGCGGTGAGTGAGTATCTGCAGCCTGAGCACCAGTTCTTAGACTGCGATTGGAACAGTGCAGGAGGGCTGACAGACCAAAACTACCTGGAAACTGCTGCTGGAAGCTTGTCTTTATCTGTTATTATTGCTATTGATCCTGACTCATACATCCCTTCATACTGATTTATCTCCTTTGTTTCTAGTGAAGCTCTTTAAAATCATTTCTCACTACTCTGTGGCTGAGCTATCTTCCATACCCTATTCCATGCCTATTGACATCTTCATTTTCACTGTGGTCTTCTTGAGCACCTTGAGACTGCTCTTTCAAAAATTTCATTTATGTGGTAGAAGGTTTCAAGGAAGGTGATGAAACTGGAAGGGAGCAAAGGCTTTCACTGGGAAGAGAAAGGCTGCTGTAGTCTCAGTATGCTACATAAAGCTAAAGGATGTTTGAAAAATAAATTTCAACAATTCTTGGAGAGGTTCTGTTTTCACAAAGGAGAATTCACTCTTGGACACATATTGATCAAAAGTCTATGATACAATTATCTTCCATTTCAGTCTGCTTTTATATACTCAGCTGCTGAAGTTGACTTTTCTGACAGCAGAAGTTATCTTGAGAACTGTACAGCAAAAGACACAAAAGACAAAACGAAGGTTTCAATATTGTTCTGGTGTATTCATAATATAAAACTGAAGCTAATGACAGCCCTTTCTCCACAAAGTCATTTCCTGAGCATTAAAGGAAGAGTACATTTTTGAAGCACAGTCGGCTTAAAACAGCAGAAAACTGTGCTACCCAGGAAAGAACACTGAGATTACTTGGAAATGTGCAGGTATCCCTGCTTGTCATAAAAACACAGGCATCCCTTCTACCTGAATTTGGGTGGTAACCTGTGTTCTTTCCTGAAGGAGTAAGTCCAAATAATAGAGTTAATCCCATGAGTTATAGAAAAGTGATGAGAATAAAGTTTTGTGTTAAATTATTGGGTAGCTTAAGACAATTCATATTCCCATGAGGTGTATGAAGGAAGGCAGCCAGACACTTTCTCCCATTCTTCTACATCTTATTTTCATATACAGAGAAAGCATTTGAGTTTGCTTTTATACCTTCTAGGTTATAGCAGCCTCACATGCAGCCATCTTATTCCACAGGTGTGGGCAGACCTTGCTACCTATGCCCACACCAAGGCAATCAGGCTGAGGAGGAACTAGGGGAGCATTTTGAAGTGTAAAGCTGTACTGCATGTGCATGTCGAATTTAAATATTACTGTAGAAACCTGAATATTGCACTGCTGCTAGTTACAGCTTATTAAATGCAAATCTAATATTCTAAAGTTCTAACATTCTAATAAATCTTCTGCATTTGATGCTGTTTGCCTTGCTGTTTTCATAGTGGAATATAGCCAGCATAGTTGAGATCATTTAGGACACCCAGTCCTTTTCTGCTTTATTTTCTCCTGTTGTATATTCCATGTTTATTTTCAGATTTTAAAAAATTGCAGATTTTTTAAGCAGGTTAGCTTGATCCTAGCCCATGCAAATTTTGTGTTGAATGCAAAGCGAAGTTGAAAACTTTTCTGACTTCAGGAAAACCAACTTTTCACTTTCCATGTCTCTTTAACTGTGCTAACTAGGATATGAAACGATGTTGAAAAAAAGAGAAAAAGAAAATACTTTCCAGATTTCATTTTTTTTAAAAAAGACATCGACATTGACATTAACAATGACAATAAAAATGAAATTTTTCATACTGCAAAACCTGAGCAGGGAAATTATGATATAGGCTTATTCTTATTTAGCAGAATACTTGAATCATTAGTTCTGTGATGTATGTTCACATCCAATTCCTGTATTTTGTATGCTTTTTCACTGTGTTAGAGGGATTGTCTTGTACTGCAGTCAGCATTCTCCTAGACTTGAACTGACCTGAAAACAAGATCTTCATTTAGACCTTGAAAAAAAGGATCTTCTCCTGATAGTAGAAGCATCAGGAAACGAATGGCATCGTGAAGCAACTATTCCAGTATTTAAATATCTTCATTTTTATTAGAGATCTTTAATATGATTAATTGTAACTCAAGGAAACATAGCACTTCTTTTTTTACATGTTGAGATCTGTAAACACACACACAAAAGAAAGAAACAAGCAAACAAAAAGAAAACCACTGATGTATTTCACATGAGACTCTTGGAGTGGAATATTCTCATAATTACAAGTGTTTGGATTTCCTCTTAAGCATTTCTAAGGCAATCATTCACAACAGTTTTTATTAACTTCATTTTTACTGTATTGCTTTTTGAATGTATTTTTTTTTTTTTATCCTGAAAAAACTGTGGTACTTTCCTAGGTATATCTAATTGAAAACTATCATTTTGTTTCATTGGTTGCTCTTCTTTTTGATGTTTTTCTCCTCTATTTTTAAGCCATGTCTAACATTGTACATGTACAAGAACTTGCCACAGAGCTGAACACCTTCATGTATTAAAAATCAAGTTTAAATTGTTTTTTGCTTTCTCATTAGCAGATATAGCTAAGATCCATCATACAGAAATCACCAAGTCTTTCCTGATTAGGTACCTGAGAAGTAAAAATGCTTGAAATATTGCTTGTTTAATATTCAGGAATTAATTAGCATGTACAGCATTCCTTTTGATTAGCATATTTAATTCTCCATTCATTGAAAAGCAACAACAAAAACTGAGGAAGCTAAGGGAGAAGGAAGAGAGCATCTGAAAAGAATATATACGTACCTTTTTTTGTGGAGTATGTGGTTTACTTTTGAACCATACCAATGAAGCTGGGAATGTCTTTCAGTTTTGCTTAGTTTTTTGACATGGGGGAAAAAAGCAAAAGAAAGAAAATGAAGTGGAATCTTTTTTTGTAAATCAGTTAGCTAACTATTTTGTTCTATTTTTCTTATTTTTTTTTCTTGGTATTTCAGTCAGGACATCTGGAGTTATAGATTATTTCTTTGAGCTTTGAATTTTTGGGAGATACTGCAGTGACAATGAATGAACAGCCTGTCCAATATATGTTTTTCTGCATACATTTCAACCTTTTATTGTTGTTGATCTTTACTGAGCTGCGACTAAAAAGAAAAAAACTGCTATGGAAGAATGCAGTCACAGGCATGAGTGTGCTAACTTACAAAACATTTATAACAAGTAAAATTGTTGTCTGTGTCCTAAGAAGGAAGGTGTTAATCTTCAACTAGACAAAGTTAATTTGAATAATGGAAAGATATGAGAATGATGTCTGTAAATTATATTACTGATACTCGTATGCCATTATAAGATATAACAGGAAAAGCAGACAATGAAATTCTAGGAGCATTATGAACTGCAAGGAGAGAATAGCCTGATTGTTGACAGTTGGTCAATATGAATGATTTTTGTGATGGATTGTACACTTTATTGTAAGAATACCTATAATTATCTAGTCTGAACACAGCATACAGTGAAGAAGGACCTAGAAATAAATGCTCTAATAATCATTTTCAGCATTATCTGATCTGCCGTGTCCAGCATTTAAAGACAAGCAATAGGTTCCTGTCTGTAACTAGGCATCATATCCTATCTGACCTGCAGTCGGCAACATCACTGGGATGGGGATGTCCTATTTCTGTGGCCAAACTAAAAAAAAAATATTTCAATCAATCCAAGAGTCATCTCTTTGTTTAAAGAATAATTTTACCCAAGTAAGAGTTGGGGAGAAAAGTCGGTGTAAAAAAAATACCTTGTTTTTTCTTGAAACTGGTCAGAGAAGAGCTGAATTGACTTTTTAGTGAAAGAGTCTGTGTGGCTTGCTAAAGAATTCAGATTGTTTTGTTACTAACTGCACTTTCATAATGGAAATAAAGAGAAGGAATTAGGCAATCTTCCTAAACTCACGATTTCGGTGGTGGGGGTCCTTTTTCTTATATATAGTGGGTAGTGTGTAGAGCCCATGCAACATGTAGCAGCTGGCTTTACATCCCCTTTCTACTTGAGAGTCATTGAGTCTATGTAGCTTACTATGTCACTGCTTCGCAGTGGTGTGTTCTGTCATGTTGAGGCATATTCCACAGGACATTTGCATACTCTTTGGAAAATTTGATGTGATTCTTAATAAGATGCATTCCATATGTAATTTTGTGTTAGGAGAATGAATGAATGGAACATGTACCATGGTGTCTGTGTGAGTCTTCTTTGTTGTTATGAATTCAGAATGGAAAAAGGCATTTATAATGAAAGTTGTTAAGCAACCTGCCATGCCAATAAATATTTCAGGCTTATTTTAGGCATGTCTGACTTACACTGCCTGTCATCATAGGGAGGATATGCAAAGATATTTGCCACATTACTTTAAATGCCACAAATAAGACTGTGGTTAATCATTTTCTCTGAAGTGCATTCAGTGTCTGTTAACTCCAGAATAGTGGTAGTGCTGGAGATTTACCTACTGAGAGGGAAGGGAATCTCATTCCAAATTTTTACCACTAGTCCCTGAAAAGCTAAGTTGTTTTCCAACCAGAATCTAAAACCTAAGCAGTCTCACAAGTCAGGTTCATTTCACAAATAAGTATTGAATGCAAAGTTAAGTCTCTTGTCACAGTCAACATAATCTTTAGTAAGTTGATGCTCAGAAGTATTTACACTGCTGAAGATGGTCCGTCTTGCTAAAGCTGTCAGTTTTAAAAGGCTCCATAAAGACAGGAGTCTATGAAATATGTCAGGCATTGCTACCTGACATAATGTAAAACAGGAAAATAGAAAATAACCTTTGAAGAGCATTATGTAGTTTAAGGAATGGTATGTGAACTTGGTCTAGGATTCTAAGAAATATGAAACTTGAGTTCATTTAATTAAACCTCTTTTGATGTTTGGAATGTTTACAGGCCTTGATCCAGGACCATGAGAGACAATCTTCCTTTTCTATTTTTAAAAAACAAATGTAACATCGAAATCTCAAGAGATAATATTTCAAAGAAAATGCTGAATATTTATGAGAAATTTTAAGATAAGTGAAATCGTTTCACTTGGAGTGCTGCGAACATAGAAACTTTTAATATATTTTCTCATAAGAAAGATTCCCTAGTGCAAGCAAATCCATCTGCTCTCTCCAGAAATTAATAAAAAATGGTAGGCTTCAGAAAGAAGGCTTTATATTGTGACCTTAAAAGTGAGTCTAAAAATCGTACTACCAATTAAGCATGATGATGTGAACTACTGGTACATTACAAATATAACCCAATTTTATTTGCACAGTACAGTTTTTTACAATCCTCAATTATTTTCTTCTTTCACTAGATTCAGTTGAGTTTCAGATTATGGTTTTTTTGGCTTTCCTTTCTTTTTGCCCATTCCCCAATGTTGTCTTTCTCTGATGTCAAAGAACAGAGACCAAATGTCCCCAGAATCTGTTAGATCAGACAATGCTAGACAACTGAACCAGGCAACACTGATTGCTTCTGGGATATGATGCTAGAATGTACTGTACCACTTAGACATCCAGATTGCCTAGGATTATCCCTAAATTAGCAATGCATGTTGCTCTATACCTGCTTCATGCATTATCCCTGCAATAATGATTCTTTCTGTTTTCATTTTCCTGTACCCTGAAGTTTAATAGTACATGATGAGAAAGGTAGATTGATTTAGACACAGTTTTCTCTCTGTTGCTAATACACTGCATTAAAGGCCTTATCAGAACTGAGTGGCAATTGTAATAGGCTTCGTCCAAAAATGTTATGTAAAGTGTCAGTTCTTACAAAAACAAGCAAACCTTTGGCCGTGAGGAAGAGAAAATAATGTTATATATCTAGTGGAAATTTATCTCAGGTTTGTACATTCTGTAACAGGACGTGGGGTGGCTTATTTCCATAAACAGCAGCTTATTGATGTTTTTAAAGTAGTTATTGTGAAGAAAATAGCATGTAGGCCAAAATATTTTTGTGTTCACAAGTACTTTAAATGCATTCAATACAAATTCTTGTTAAGGTTTTTTTAATCAAATATTTGCAGATGATTGGTATTTCTGCATTATTGTTCTCAAGTATTTGTCTCACTTTATAAGCTTGTAAGTGAGGAGGAAACAAAGTAATGCCTTTAAGTGGTACACAAACCTTTTAAAATAAACTTTGCAAAAAAGTTGCACCTTACATCCATACAAAGCAGTTAGAAAGAGGTCAACAGTGAGCATCTTGTTTGAAGAAAGCATTCAAACCTGTTTCCAGGGTAACCAGTGCCATTCTTTATAAATCTCTGCCATGCTTCCACCTGTTTTGCGAAGTTGAATGCTTTTTTTCATTTCCTGAGGTACAGTTTGAACTTTAACACACACATGTAAACACACACACACCACATGCTGCTTTCTCTCCCCTGTAACAAAGGAGATAAAAAAAGTAAATAAAAGGTGGTTAATATTTAAACTGTTAATGCAGGTGTCTCAGTAGTGCCTTTTTAGGAGTATTCTAAGTGGTGCTGAGCAGCACTTGAACAAATTGCTCTTCCAGGAAAGACAGATTAATTTTGGATGGATTCCTGGGTATCTGGACTTCAGGCCACCATAGTTTCCTTTGTTCTCTGCTCTCTGCGCTGGCTGAGAAGGGTACTGTGTTTTATGGAAGGTAATAAGGATGTGTGAGTAGAGGGAAATGATAGTCAATACTACTATTTAATTGCCATCTTCTCTGTTACATTAGATGGTTGCTCTGCAAGTCTGAAGGTAAAGGTAGAATAAATATTTTAAAAAGTTATATTTGTGAGTTCCACACCTACACACATTAAAATATTTATTGCAAATTGTTCAAATACCTTTTTTTTTCCTTGAAAAGATTTTTTCTACAGAGACAGTGAGTCTTTAGAAGGACTGATTACAAAATGTATGGCAGGACAGCACAGAAAATCACACAGTGGAGAGAGGCAATGAAGAAAGCCTTGAAATAAATATATTCTTTTATCTGAAATAAGCTTGGATATGATGCCTCATTAAGAATACTCTGAATGTTGGCGATATTTTATAGACCAGCATGTCCAATTAATTTAGTCTTTTATTTATTCAAATATTGACTAGAAACATAATTTAGAATTTCCTTAATAGCTCTCAGAGCAAAATAAAGGAATTGCTGCATCTATTGCAATAGGTGATATACCAAATGTATAGGTCACCCTGGCAGAAGACTTAATAGTGACATAGGACACGATATATGATACTTCAGTAAAAATGCTGTAGATTTAGGTAGGTCTCTCAAAGTAATGCATTCTATTTATTTCCATGAAGCTGCAGTGGATAAAAGAGAACAATAACACTATTTGAAAGAGAAATCTCAGTTAAAAAACAATATTTTTAATGAAGTTACATCCAGTAGCATTTTCACCAGCAGTGAACAAGAGCGTGCATGCCATGCTCAAAAAAATCTTCACCAGCAGAGGTGACCCACAGTTGTTGTCCCTACTGCTGAAATGCAGCACCACCACCACAGTGTGCTCACATCCACTGCTTGGGCTCCAGAAATGCTCAGCAAGTGTTGGCAAATGTCAGTGGGTGCCATTTTTTCTGCATAGAAGAATTCAGATCCACACCTTTACCATATATGCACTTCCACCTCATTCAGACATAACAAAATGGAATGGAATATTGATTCAGCTTCCTCTGCCATACCACCAATATCCACTCCGACATGGTGGGCCAACATAAAAAATAGGAGGCATTACTTCCAGTGCAGCCCATGCAGTTCTCTACTAATCATGTAAGTCAATATTTTTAATAAAAGGAGTGCCTAATTACCTTGTTTAAGTCTTTTGTAAGCCATTCAGACTTTCTATGCATCTTTTGAAAAATTAATCCACTATCCAAAAAGTGGTCGTGTCAATTAAATAAATCATCTTAATAAAAGATACTACCTCTGACAGTGTCCCATATCTGAGAAAGAGGTAATTTACAGAATACATTTTTGTCAAAGTCTCTTCAACTATGTGTGAGTGGCTACAGCATTGTTCAAATGCTTTCAATTTAATTTGCAAAACCAAACCCATCTTAAACTTACATTTGAGAAGGCATTATAGGAAGTATTCTGTTGTCAGAAGATGAAAGCTACTTCAGTATTTGTGAACTTCAGTGCTCATGATTGCTTTGGATAGCTCTAGCAATGGCAGCTTTCAGCAGCATTTCCATCTGTAGCAGAAGATCTGCAGAGCCTCGGCACAGCTCACAGAGAAGCAGTGAAAGGAAATCTTGTTTCATTTATGAAAGTCATGAGTGAGAGTTTTTCTTCCTATCTTTTCTGGAAAATGTCATATAATAATAGGCATAAAACATGTCAGAGATCATTTTCATTGAAGATATTAGGAAATCAGAAGGCATTCTTTATCCATGGTTATATTTAGTTTTGAAGCATTTGTATTATAGCGTTTCTTAATTAAAGGATTTGATACAACAGTATCCTGTTTAGGTCTTTTCAAAAAAAAAAAGCCCTATCAATGGAGTTATTTAAAAAGTTCTATATTTACCTAGATTATAGAGAAGTTGTTGAATATTTATTTCAATTTCAGTGAATTCTTACTGTAGAGGAGTTTAGGAACTTGTCAGTAAACATTTGTCTTGTTAATTGCCCTGTGCATTGCTGGATTTCTCTGCCTTTGATCTCTATTTTTAGTGTCTATATTCTATATCTCTATATATGTCTATATCTCTATTATGATATGTATCTCTATATCTCTATCTATATCTCTATCGTGCTTGACCCATCTGGTAGCCTTCTATGATGTTGTCTCTGGCTGGGTGGATGGGGGGAGAGCAGTGGATGTAGTCTACCTTGATTTCAGCAAGGCTTTTGATACTGTCCCCCCACGACATCCTTATAACGAAGCTGAGGAAGTGAGGGATAGATAAGTGGACAGTGAGGTGGGTTGAGAACTGGCTGACTGGCAGAGCACAGAGGGTCGTCGTTGGTGGTGCAGAGTCTGGTTGGAGGCCTGTAACCAGCGGTGTTCCTCAGGGGTCGGTGCTGGGTCTGGTCTTGTTCAACATCTTCATCAATGACCTTGATGAGGGGATAGTGGCCACCCTTAGCAAGTTTGCTGATGATACGACGTTGGGAGGATTGGCTGACATGCCTGAAGGCCGTGCTGCCATTCAGCGAGACCTGGACAGGCTGGAGAGCTGGGCAGAAAAAAACTGGATGAGGTTTAACAGAAGCGAGTGTAGAGTCTTGCATCTGGGGAGGAATAATTCCATGCACCAGTACAGGCTGGGGGATGAGCTGCTGGAGAGGAGCTCTGCGGAGAGGAACCTGGGTGTCCTGGTGGACGACAGGTTGGCCATGAGCCAGCAGTGTGCCCTTGTGGCCAAGAGGGCCAATGGCATCCTGGGGTGCATTAAAAAGAGCGTGGCCAGCAGGTCGAGGGAGGTGATCCTCCCCCTCTACTCTGCCCTGGTAAGGCCTCATCTGGAGTACTGCATCCAGTTCTGGGCTCCCCAGTACAAAAAAGACAGGGATCTCTTGGAAAGAGTCCAGCGGAGGGCCACAAAGATGGTGAGGGGCCTGGAGCATCTCTGCTATGAAGAAAGGCTGAGTGAACTGGGTCTGTTCAGCCTTGAGAAAAGAAGACTGAGAGGGGACCTGATCCAGGTTTATAAATATCTGAAGTTTGGGGGCCATACTGGCGAGGCCAGACTCTTTTCAGTGGTGAGTGGAGACAGGACAAGAGGAAACGGCCAGAAACTGCAGCACAAGAAGTTCTGCACAAATGTGCACAAGAACTTCTTTACAGTGAGGTGACGGAGCACTGGAACAGGCTGCCCAGGGAGGTGGTGGAGTCTCCTTCTCTGGAGATGTTCAAGACCTGCTTGGATGCCTACCTGTGCGACCTGCTGTAGGGAACCTGCTTTGGCAGGGGGTTGGTCTCATTGATCTCTGGAGGTCCCTTCCAACCCCTACAATTCTGTGATTCTGTGATTCTGTGATTTCCAGTCCAAACTTACTCTTCTTTCTCTCTGTATCTAGAACCTTCATATTGAGAAAAGGCTGTTTATTTTCTGTATATATTGCATATTAATCAATTTTGTCTTGCCCTTCAGATCTATGTAAATACAGATGGTTAAACAGTATGCTTAGTTAAAATAGTATCAATTTATCCTAACTTTAAATTAGCTATCAATCTAAGTCAGTCATCGTGGGTCTATTTATAATGAAAGAATAGAAATAGGAACCTGTAAGAGGATATTCATCTACAAAATTTTTGTAGTTCATTGCAAAGTGGAATTAACTGCTTTCTGCAAGGTCTTAGGTCTTTGTATTAACTATAGAATGAGTCAAAGCAACTGACTAGACAGTTAAAATTGCCACATCTTAACCTTGTTGTATTTTATTATGGAATTTCAATTGCTTACACTTTCATGAGGAAGTTGTGAAGTAATTGTGGATATTCAGGAACAAAATGTCAAGACACAGTATTTAACCAGCTAGGAAATGTTTTCCTTTGTATACTGTTCACAGACAAAGACAGTGGTGGTGGATTAAAGGCACATGGCTGTTTCATCTACTTCATGGCATCATTCTATGCGTGAAGCACAGATCCTTAACTCGAATATCTTGGTTTCATCTTGTGTTAGAATTATATTACAGTGGTACTTTGACTGTTTTGGGGATTCTGAGACTCTTTATATATTCAAAGATCAAAGTAACATCTAATGGCTTGGGTAGGAAAGACCATTCAGTCCCAATCTTCTACTGTGGGCAGGGTTGCCACTGACTAGCTCATGCTGCTCAGGATCCCATCCAACCTGGTCTTGAACACCTTCACCGATGGGGCAGCCACAGCTTCTCTGGGCAACCTGATGGTGCATGCAAAGGAATTTTCTCTGAAACAGAGTGCACATCTGCAAAGTTTATGATATAAGCTGATGCATGCCTGGATGGCTCTAATAAGAAGTGCAGAAAACTGACTTAACATCAAAATTGTTATTGATAAATATAAGTAAGCCAAGCTCCTCAGTCACAACACTAAGAGCATGAAATCAAAGCTCTTTGCAGTGGGGTCTGTGGGAAACCTTCGACATTCCCCATGAGATGTTCACAATTATTCACAGGCTCTGCAACTTTTATCACTCAACTTTAAAGCACAGTGAAGTAATTGACTTTCATAAGCCAGCAGTGAACAATTTGCCATAATTACAGTGTTTAATTTGTTGCTGTAGTCTCAAACTAGAGGTAAGGAATCACTAGACTAGCTTTCTCCTTAAAAAATACAGCCTACTTATCTTAATCTGCAAATCACTAGAGAAAAGGTCCCA